ACGTAAAAACTCCTTTTTTGTTTTTATTTAACACAATCAAACACATATTCAAGTGTGTTTTCAAGCGTGACGAGTGGTGTTATCCTAACGGCAAATAACTGTTAACAGCTTTAAAACTTTTGGGTTACAGTGAATATGCTTTGATTTAGCCTTCTATTCTTACCTAGATAATGTGATGAATTATGCTTGAGGAACCGAAGGTTAAGAACCTTAGCTTATGGATAACAAAATCATTGGATGAAGTTAAGGACGTGTAAAAGTGATTTATGATGTAGTTACGCACCTTCACTCACCAGTCGTCATCATCCATTTGCCAATTGGCAACTTGCTCCTCATCCTCCTACTTGCCAACTTCTATCCCAAAAAAAAAAGAAATCCGCTTTTGTGTCCGAGATTATGGATGGTACTATCTATTACTTTTAAATAATCCTGTTACCTATTCATTTTATAAATATATATATATATATATATGCAGATTCTCCTTTCTCCCCCTGAAAAACATGAGTTTCATAATAAATCCGACAGAGAAAAAACGGCATATTTTTCCTATGTTGTATGTAATGAACGGTGAAATTGATGTGGGAGCAGCATGGGCCCATCACTGTGATGTCCATTGGGCCTCCTTTTTGGGCCTTTATGGTCCGTTAGGTGTTGCAAATATGGGTCTACACGCATCTGGAAAGGGACCGTGCCCCCCGTCACAAATACATGATCAGTTATAACCGGTTAACTATTTCGGACGGAAGGAAAACCACCACGTCCAGGTTCAGACACAGACACTAATACTACTATGAAATAAACCGGACATTAATTTTGAACCGGACAATATAGTAATATGGGCAACCATATTAGATTCTTTTAAATCAAAGCTTACTGTATTCGAACCCATTAGTTACCTCTCATCGTTTCTTTAATACATACACCAATGCTAAATCATTGTTAATTCTTCAAACAAAGATCCCAAGTATCCGTCATTCCTTTAAGCAATGCTCATCCTTCACCTCCAAAAGCCTTTAAAACAAGTCAATTCCAGTTTGCCTCTTTGATCTTTTTGGAAAGAAGATTGCTCAGGCGGCAATGATTAAGTACCAAAAGAAGAGAGCACAAAAGCCATAATTTCTTAATTAACTTGGGGAACTCGTGGCTTTGCAATCGGAATAAAAGAAACCAACAATCTCCGCCTGGTTCATCCATTAGGGCACAAAGCTAGAAACCCACCACTATGAACAAAGAGAACACAAGATCCATTTTTTGATTAACTCGTGGAATTGGACGGCTCTATAAGAATGATCGCCGCATGAAGCCAACGTAAGCTTCTGAAATTATAACGACATTGAACCAACTTCAGGTTTCCCCGGCACGTATCTATTTCTTATTCTGCCTTTGTTGGGCCTGTCACTGTGACTCTTTCGACTGGCCCACTCTAAGTGTCCAGCCCATCAAAGGGCCCATTTAAATAAATCATCTAGGCTTTTGTCTATTAAAATCGCCATCAGCAGCTCTACCATGAAATTTTCAATATTTAATTACTCTTTCATACAACCTAATTATTGACTTGTTTTTTTGTTTTGAATGTAAGATATAGTTCTTGTATTTATTAATTTTTCTTAAATTATCTCATTGATACTCTCTCAACCATAATCAAACAAGAGAGAAAGGTGAGATATTAAAAAATATGATTATAATGTTTCAGAAAAAATATATCATATTTTATATATTTGGTTGCTATATATACTATATTTTATTCAGAATAAATTTTCCCAAAACACAAGCAAATGAAAAGACAACCCCTTTTTTCCTCGTTTTCTTGTAAAACGATCGCAGGAAAAATCCAGAAGTTTATCCATATCTTCTGACTTTATCCGACGATCGCCGTAGAGTAGAAATATCTACTGTATTTTTTTTAACTGCTGACCCTTGAATAAGATTCGACTTCCAGTAGATGCTTTCCACGTGTTTCCTCCCGGTGCCTCTCAAAACAATCGTATTCACACCACCTCCAGACTGGGCCCCACCCACAGAAGAAGACGTAAAGCAAAAATCATCGCGCGCGACATTTTACTTTTTGCACTGTACCGAATGTACATTTTTTTAATATTTCAGGAGGAAAATTGAAGTTATAAATATAAAATTTTAATTTATTTATCTTTTAAAGTTAAATATATTTTTTCTCCTCCCAATAAATTAATGGGGAAAATATTTGAGCGATCAATTAAAAGAGAGGGAATAGAGTTGTTTTGTTAAGTCAAAGTATCTATCACCACAAAAGCTATAATAAAAAGGAAAAATTATAATGAAGTCTTAAGAAAAAAATAATTCTAAAATGTTATTAAAATTTTTTAGTAATTATTTTTCTAAATTTTATTGTAATCCTCCCTAATAGAAATGGATTTTTTTGGGTCAAAGTGCGCTTTGGAATTGAGCGGTGATGAACGAATGGAATTAGAATTTGGTGCCGCAACTCCAAACCACTCTTTGCGCACAGTTCCTTTCGTGATTAAAGTATTATGCTTTTTTAGTTACAGAAGTGCAAGCAACTTTCAAAGTGATCATTAGAAGGTATCTCGCTATTATATCTATCACTTTTTTTTTTTAATTTAACTTCTCCTAATCGAATTATTAAAACAAGATCTAATTGAAGAGTTGATATTAATATAATATATAAGACATATTACATATGTTTATCAATTTTTTTCAAATTAATCCTATTAATATTTTTCCTAATAATAATCAGGTAGAAGAGAAAGAAAGAGAACTAAAAAAGATGCTTAGAGTGTCTTAAAAAATATATAATATTAATTAATTTAACTAATATTTTTGATCTATTTAAATTAGTTAATTAGTTCTTATATCAAGAATTATATGAGTACATTACTGAAATCACATTTGAAAGCTGCACAAGGTCAGTTTCTACGATGACATGCTCGTTATTATATACAACTACCCTGTAATATGTAATATGTGAAATTCATAGCTTTTTTTTCTTTAAAAAATATATTTAACAAATGTACCAATAAGATATTTACAAATAATTATTGAACATTTTTAGCATTGCCGATCCAAACAATAAAAGGGACGTAAGCTCCACAAAGTTATGTTTTGACGAGTATTTGGTTTAACACGTCTATAACCTTATAACTTAATAATATGTCAGGTTTTTTTTTTTTTACGTGTAAGGTCATGCGGTTGGATCTCATTTATAACTTCAAATTGTTACCATATATCTTTTTAATTAAAAAATTGATTTAGTTGAAATTTAATTCAAATATAATATTTAAGCCTGAAGATCGGATTCTGTCAAAATAATAATTAAAAAAAAAAGGTTCATTTTTGATCTTAGACTTCTATACAACATGTTTTTCAATATATGCAAAGGTAATCTAACCAGGTTGGGCATGAGAGACAGGGGATATTGTATGAAGGAATTACTTTTGACCGAACTTTCTAAGAGAATCTACCTACCATAAAGGGAAGTGAGGGATAAGATGTGATCCTTAGAAGAATATATTTATATATATACTACCTCTGGTTCTTAATATAAGATCATGTTTGATTTTTATTTTGATATTAAATATAAGATCCCAATCCACTTTGTCTCTCACATTTATGTATTTTTTTCAAGATAGTTCTTATAATAATTGTAGTCCTAGCCAATATAGTTTATTAGTAAGGATATTTTAGGAAAGACAACACCTATTTAATACAAATAATTAACTTAACTTCTTTCCTTAATCTCCTTAAATTAGTCAACTGGATCTTATAATTAGGACCGGGAGTAGTAGAATTTTTTTTCAAACAAGCACCATTCTTTTCTATGGCAATGCCTTATATTTTAGGTTTATTTAATTTTTTTAATAGGACATCATCATTCAACATAAACCATGCATACAGGTTCCTACATTTGCAAAAAATGTGTCGCGCGCTGCACAATTTGTGACTGTCACGACTTCCTATGTATTGATATTAATAAACATTTATCAAAATTAGATATTTCTGTATGGAGATAAATATGTGACCTTGATAGTTCAATTATAAATTTGGCAAGAAAAATAGTAGGCAATGCCACATATATAGTTCAAATATAGAAAGGAAATAGTCAGATACAGAGGATGAGAAGTACAGTGGAGTCTCCAAAAAAAAAAACTCGGGAATATTTTTGTGCAGTGTAATTTTCTTGATCTTTTGCTAAAAGTAAATCCTTTCAAAATTTATGGGGGAATAAAGGATTAAACTTGTGTGCTCTTTTCCCGTTAAAAAAAAAAAAAACTTGTGTGCTCTGATTGGTTCGGATTTTCCCCTTTTTTCAAACATTTGTTGGTTCCATTTTCTGACTTTACCTATAAAGATCGTCGTTGTCCTCATCGCTCTGCCAAAACTTGAACTTTCTTCCACAGCTCCGGCCCTTTCTCTCTTGCCTTTGCCTGCTTCTTATAGGTCAGTTCGCCATTTCTCTCTTAGTTTACGTTCTGTCAACGTTTGATGCTTTCTTATAACTTTGTTCATTAATTATCTTTCTTCGCTTCTGATATCTGCACTTCTCTGCTTCTTCCGTGACTTGGAAATATCTCAGTCCAAACTTAAATGGTTCCCATGTTCTTTTCTCTGTCTCCATCGAGTTTCCGAAACAAAAATTCAACTTTTGACTTTTTTCTCTTTGTATTCATGGCTGTGTTGTTCAAAGCTTCTTCTTTATTTCAGTGGGTTTGTCTGTTGTTCCTTCACGAATGCTCAGCTATGCTCTGTTCTGCCCCCTCTGTTTTTTTCGTTCGATTTAATTCCAAATCAACATTTTACTACGCAGAAGGTCTGTCTTATGTTAATTTTTTGCAACCCGTTGGTTAAAACTAATAGTCTTTCTGAGTTACTGGAAACCTCGAAGATTGAATTTTGTTTCAGTTTTTCTGGTCTCTACAATTTTACTTCATCTTCGTCATTATGCTCGTACTGATGTTGGAGAATGATTATCATTTTCTAATGTTTAGGATCATCCACCTGAACATGCAAGTTTGAACTTGTAAACAGTACTTTAGTCTTAAAATTTCTTCTTTCCTGATGCATCTTTTTGGATTTTTGGCGCCTATTCATCCAAGCTTAGCTCTGCTCTCTTATGTCTGTTTCGGTTTGCTCTGTTCAGGATCATCCCATAACTTGAAGAACATGATTCTGTATTTCAATTTTCCATTTAAGATAAAAACATCGTATTTGAACATCCAAACAGTATTTCACTCTAAAAATCCCATCTTTCTCGATGATTCTTTCTGGGTCTGTTCATTCATAAAAGCTTGACCCTACCCTGTTTTCTCTGCTTTAGCTTAGCTTGAAATGACGAGGAAGACGATGGAGCTGCTGAAAGGAGGAGGGGTGACAGGGGAGGAGATAATGGAGGTTCTGGCGACCGTGGCGGAGGAGCTGGGGGACGCCGTGGAGGAGGTGGAGGAGACGATGCAGGTAATACCACTGAAGGGGGCGATGACGAACGAGGTTTTTCAGATCAAGTGGTGGTCGCAAAACGGCTGCGTGTTGAGGAGAGTGCTAGTAAGGCTGTACGGAAGAGGAGTGGAGGTATTCTTCAACCGAGAGGAAGAGGTCAGGACGTTTCAGTGCGTGGCGGAGCATGGCCAGGGCCCCCGTCTTCTCGCCCTCTTCGCCGCTGGCAGAGTTGAAGAGTTCCTCCACGCCACTGTATGTATCACCGCTTTGAGGCTACTTTTCCTGCCTTCCTCTTAGATATGCAATTTATATTTTTAGTATTAGTTTATTATTTTAAAATAAATAACAATAAAATAATTTTACTCTTCTGATCTTAAGTTACGTAATTTAAAATTATTTTTATCTCAATAAAATATATAAATCTATACCATTGAAAAAAAAGATAATATAATCTACTAATTTTAGAAGACTTGATATAATATATCCAAAAATATAAGTTATTTATATTAATTTAAGGCATTAGTTATTCTCATAGGATCCTTGCATAAAAAACTATACTACTAGGATATTTAATATAAGAACTATTTGATTAATTTAAGTAGATTAAAAAAATTAGTTAAGTTGTTATTTGTAATAAATATGTGTTATTTTTCTTAAAATACTTTTGTTAATAATGTGTATCTACTATAACTATCATTTGATGAAGCATTTAACATGTGCAACTACTACAGGGGTTATTTTTAAAAAATAAGATAAATATGATAAATAAAAAAGATTAGGGTGTTATATTTAAAAACAAATTAAAAATAAAATTAGTTCTTATATGAAAAATAAATAAAAGTAGTATATTAACTTGACTGTACAGTCCTTTGGTCTGGTCTGATAGCAAGTTTGCCCTTTTTTTCCCCTCCCTTAAAGACGAAAATAAAGAATCGACTACTATGTTACACGTATAACAGTTGAAATTCAAGCATCTTACCATTTGTTTAAATGGTGTGAACTCCTATAATTCATACCAACTTAGATAAGTTTATCATCTAAATTTTATTGAATGTTGTGATGAAGCCCCTTGTTTTATAGCTTTTTGTTTAACTTGTAAAACCTTTTTATTTTTCCTTTCTATAACTAACAGAAAAATTCCAAACACTAAAGTGAGAATCCATACCGAAAGTGAAAGTGATGATTGAAATCAACATGCGTTTGAGAGCTTTGACGAACATATGCTCCCTTTTAAATTTATTTTCCTTCTTATTCCTTTTTTTTTTTAAAATAGTAAAAGTCAGAAAGTTCATTCTTAATTCCTCTTGTTGTGTGTTTTCTTTTTCTCAAGTGACCACCTGTTTCCTTTCAAGGACTAAAGGGCTAAAATTGCCAGATACTGCGAATTAAATAAAATATAAACTACACAATCTTTAATTTTATTAAAATTAATTATTTTGTAGATAAAAAATTATTCTATATTTTGATGTTTATTTCATAAAATATTTATGTAATTCTTTGAAATGATTAAAAAAAAGAAGAAGAATTGTCACTTCAATAGATTTAATTAATCTGATTAATATACTTTTTTTTAAAATAAATTCAAGTGAATGCTGGTGCGTTAATAGAAGAATATGTGATTGCTATAACGTTCTGTTTCTTTGATTACTGACCCAATTGAACTTTCTGGTTTTACTTTAAAAAAAAGAAAAGAAAAGAAAAGAAGTAAGCAACTTTCATGTTTATCATAAGCTTACTGATAAAATTATGAAATGCTGGCCACATATCACATACATGTAAGAGAATGGTGGCTGATAATTTATCAGGATTTCATGTAAATTTATATTAGTTTTGTTCATTGAAGTCATGTCACATTATATTTTCAAATCAATTAAGTGCATAAAACTAAACATAGAAAGTCTTAGAAAATAAGATTAACTTGTTTTTAATATTGACCAGACACTGTCAGCAGTTGACATACGTAACCCAGAAATATCTGCTCTCATTGCATCAAAGATGAGAGAATTCCACAAACTTGATATGCCTGGTGACAAAAAAGTCCAGCTTTGGCACAAACTTAGGTAATTGATTCTACCCACTAATTAAAATCCCTAATTTTCTTTCTTCACCTGCTTGGTGCTAGATTTGGGGGGGAGACACCTTCAAATCATTAGTGAATGGAATGATTTGAGATTTACTGATATGTTACAGGAAGTGGCTTACCTTGGCAAAAAGTTTAAGTTGTACAAAGGATGCAAAGAATTTTGGGTTGGAGGACATGGAAGAAGAAATCAGCAAGTTAGAGGATTTGATATCTAACTCTGAAGGACATCAAGAGATTGGCTTTTGTCACAATGACCTTCAATATGGTAACATCATGATGGATAAAGATACCAGGACCATCACCATCATTGTAAGTTATCAAATGTTACAAAAAGGTGCTCATGTCCTGGTAATTATCAATATTATGTTATCATCATTGTGAGATTCCTTGATTCTTGTTAATCTTATGTTTACTTGAACTATGATGCAGGATTATGAATATGCAAGTTACAATCCTATAGCATATGACCTTGCAAACCATTTCTGTGAAATGGCAGCAGATTACCATACTGATACACCTCATCTTCTTGACTACACTAAATATCCAGGTGAATCCATTATTTCTGCATTAATTATTCAGTTTCTCCTCATCTTCATGATTGAATAATATCACCCTAAGTTCATCTGTATTATATGACAGATTTTGAAGAGCGTGAAAGGTTTGTGAAGATTTATCTCAATGCTGAAGGTTAGTGAGTCCACTCATCCCATTCACTCCATCAATATCTCGTCTTCATTTTCTGTACTCTGTAATTTAGATTATGAAAAGTAAAACTGTACAATCTGAATTTTTTATACACTATTCTCAATTTCTGCTTATAGGCAAAAAGCCAAGCAATGAAGAGGTGGAGCAGTTAGTGAATGATGCAGAGAAGTACACTCTTGCGAACCACCTATTTTGGGGATTATGGGGACTTATTTCTGTAAGTTTCATTTCTATTTGTTAAAATTAATTACTGAGTTATGTGTGTATAATTGAAGAATTAATGAATAATTATTGAATGTAATTGCAGAGTTATGTCAATAAAATTGACTTTGACTACAAGGAGTATGCAAGGCAGAGGTTTCAGCAATACTGGCTTAAAAAGCTAACTTTACTGGACTGGTGATTGGGGAAGTTGATCCTAATATGTATATCATTATGAATGATATTTTGAGGCATGATTTATAGCATAAATCATGTGTAAGTAATAATTGTGTGATGGATTTTGATATTTTTTTGCTAAGAATTGCCTTTCAATCCCTCTCTCTTTTGGGAATGAGGTTGAGAATTTGTAGTAATGTCTTGTTACTTTTTCTTTAATCAGTATTTACGTGCATGAATTGATCATAGGTAAGTAGGATCCAGGATTATTTATGAATTTTTATTTTTTTTTGGGTGCAATAATTTATCAAATTTTAATAGGTTCAAATTCGGCAATCACTCTTTCTTTTACTCTTAAAATGAATGCATTCAAACTGTTTAGATATTAATTTAGATTTAGATTTTAGTTTTTTGGGGGGGAAAAACGTTGTGAAAACAATATTTCAATTTTCATAATAAAAATTTATCTCTCATGAGACTAATCCTCATCTAACATATTGCTTCCTCAAGATCAAGAATATCATATGAAAGTATTAAATTGGAAATTATACGCACGCCACCACCAGAAGGCTGAAGTTAGTTTGGTTCTTGATTTAAACAAAAAAAAAAAAGAATACAAAAACTAATTTTTGAATAACTAACAAATTCTTAGGAGCGGCCATAAAGGATAGGCAAAGTTGGATTTGATATGTATAAAGTAATTTGAAATTATAAATACTAAATTACCAACAAATGAATTATAGAAGCTGAAGTAAAACTTCATAAACCTTATATCAGTCATGAAAGAATCACCGCAACAAGCAGTGACTTGAAACAGTCAATCTTAGTTTTATCAATTCCAAGCACACACAAAGCAGAGTACAATGATTTAGCCAAGAAAGAATAAGAATATATCCTATGGAAAATGATATAAATTTTCTTGAAACCTAAAACTGCCAAGAAATACCCAAAGCCTCTCGGTATCTAAAACAAGAAATCAAATTTTAAGAATTACAGAATGTGGCTAAAAATAATTGGAACCGATGAGTGGTTTTTAATTTAAACACTTTTCCTAGAATCAGCTACCTTTGTCTTCTCAATTTATGCAAAGAAAACCCAGAATACCTAACGGCCACAAAAAATCAGTGGGTCTCTATGAAAAGAAGCTATCGTGTATCTGTTTTGATGGTGGGAAGAGAGTGGCTCCGGCGCTCTTTTCCTCCTGGCTTTGAAGAGGCATTGCCATACCATATCATTCCAGCAACAGCTATTATCATCCCTAATACCACCTGCAGATTCAGACCCTCCTTCCCAAAGAAAAAGAAACCCAGAATCAAAACAAGAATGGTCTTCATATGGCCTAGAACTTGGAAAGAAACTGCGGTAAATCTGCCAATGCAGATGAATTGACTGAGGTTGGTCCCAACTGCAATACTGCACGACAGGAATATGAAAATCTGCCAAAACCAGCAGATATATGAGGTGGTTAGACAATGGAAAAGACTAAAGTTGTGTTTATTATAATGTAGTGTTAGGTATGAAAAGGAAAAGCAAAAGCAAAAGGAAATAAATATCTAAATGAAAATAAAAAGAAATTATTCAATGAATGATAATGTAAGTATAATAAGCACTGCAGTTAAAAAGCATTCTCTCCCCCTCTCTCGCTCACTCACCCACGCACCCACGCACACGCTTGACTTCCCATTTCTGCAGCTACTTTACCATGAACCAGCCGTAAAAGTGCTTGTATGCAAGTCGTCACAATTTATCGTGATTATCACTTCAATATGCATGGTGAAATGTTCAAACAGTCCAATGCTAATAACTATTCACCAACCTTCACTAAGTTTTGAATTTTCCCCCACTCTTTCGTTTTGATGTCCTCCTTGAATCATTAAATTTAGTCAAACAACTTCCTCGGCATAAGAGTTATAAGATATAAGCATGATCACGAAATTTGGACCATTAGTCTTATAAAAAAAGTACACATATCCTAATGCCATGTTCATCAACTTCCATAAAGTTGGTACTATATCAGTCGTTATAATGAAAGGAGAACAATAATCAAATTTGGAAATCTAGAAATCGAGTCTAAAATGTTCCTGGGGAGTTTGAAACTCAGGCAAAATCATAATGTAATAAGTGTAACCTTATCAGTTACCATAATCTTATGGAGAATAGGAAAACTAAGTAGGAATCCGCAGGGAAATTCAATTCCTCATGTCTAATTGATGTTAGACCTTTGTTTATAATATTTGATGTTTCATAGCTCCTCATATATTTATAACATTGAATTTACATTGGTAATTTGGCATGCACGGACCAAATGTTGGAAAGCTATAACCATGTTGATTTGAAGGAAAAAGACTACTAAACATGCAGGAATAGACTAGACACGCACCAATGAAATGTGCATATCCGTCCTCTCATCATCACATAAATGTTGAACGTAATTAAATATGTGGTATAGCTTTTGTGCCAGAACTTACCACAGAGCCTATAGTATAATCGTATCTGTCAACTCTTTTGTTCGTCAAAAAATAATCTAGAAAAGGGCCTACTAACAATAGTGATGCTGCTTGTGCTGGCGCTGTATGTCCCAACAGGTTGAAAGAACTCAACGAATACTTCCGTTGAAGATAATGAACATACTGCACATATATATCGTGATTCCATGAGTATTGAACACTAAATATATAAGTTAAGAATAAGACTTCTCAGAACAATTAAAGTCAGTTAACACCAATCTGAAACATCACGAGCTTCTATGCTACTGAAGTGTACATTTGTCATGACATAGAAGCAGAATATGACATGAACCAGAAATTGGCTCATGAATCTTCTTTCTAGGTTAAAATCGCCACTATATTCAGATATAGATCATGCTGTATAAAATTTTCAGTTATTTTTTCAGGCCAGTGAATCGGTGCGTGAACTGTTATGTGTTGATTCCAGCGAGTAGGTTTCAACAGATACAAGCTAAGTCATGTAATGTCCTTGTTGAGCGAAATAAATAAATAAATAAATATTCTGCTTACATATTGTTGCAAAGCAGTGCTCCATACTGCTATGAAGGCAGCGATGAAACCTTTGGCATTAACGCTCACATCAGTAACAGTGCAAACACCAACACCCAAAAGAACAAGACATATGCTTAGTTTTGTATCTCTTGAGTAGCGAATCTTGTCAAAGACAACTTCCAATAGGCAGGATACTGGAATCATGCTCAACTTTGCAATCTGCCAATGGTTAAAAAATTATAAATAACTGCCACACATGAATGGACCACTAGCTAAAACTTAGCCTAACTCACTTGATAGAATCCAACTGAGTTCCACATAAGACTGACGTTCATTCCAACAATAGAGAAGTTAGCAAAAAGTACGAATTTCAGAAGATCAGGAAGTGGTAAATGAGAGGCTTGGACATATCCCAGACATCTTAGTACGGTCGTCATCGAAGTTGTAGTAATAAAGTGCAGCCCTGTTAATGTTGTAGCTGCAGGTGGTATAGGCAATTAAAAGAAAATATTTAATATATAGGTATGCCGTAGGGTCCACTGAGAAACAGGAATAATGGATCAATAAATGGAATGCCATAAAAAAAAAACAAAAAAAAGAAATATACCAAAACTGAAGCCGTAAGTGGCCATCAGGGCTTTGTTTACTATGATAATTCCAACGGAAGTGACAACATTGAACATCCATGCAGCTGCATCGACTGCTGCCTTCTTATCAGCCTTAGTGGGAGGTGCCATGTTCTTTTTGCTTCTCACAACTTGGCTACTGGTCTATTCTAACAGCCTCCATGACATTCAATCCACATTCCTATGATGTTCCAGACTTGTGGACCGGGCCACTTAGCAGAATGCAATCTGAAAACGTGGAAGAAGGTCCTGAAATATGCATATTAAAGATAAATCTGGATCTGAATATATGGAGAATGGGGCAATCAAATGACTTTGAAACACAGATTAAATAATCAATATCAACAGCCTCTATCAAAAAATTATTATCTGAATTCATCTTATTTTCCAACAGCACATTGTATCAACCACATTTTCCTGCAACCACCAGCCACCACAACACAACTACAGCTGCAATTCAAATATCCTCAAATATATTTACCACCATAAACAACAATAGTCATGAATTGACCAACTTAAAATTATAAAAGAACAGAGAGATGTGAGGATTGGTATCTCCAAAATCATACTACAACTTCTTTAAAACTTAGCCCGCAAAGCATGGCTTGAATTGGCCTTCAATCCAGGCCACCATCATACTTCTGAAACCATTAATTGAATATCAAATAATCATTTTAGCAAGAAACCAATAGATCTAGTAAGTAATATGGTGAATGCCTTACGAGCATAACTGATTTCTCATTAATTGTTAATACTAATGGTACATTGAATTCGACTCAAAACACTGGAATAAAATACAATGAACAAAATATGTCGCAGACCAAAATACTCGGCATATAACCGCAGCTCTATGCTATTTTACGGCAAACATCCCCCCCAGTGATGCACCGTTTTCTTTTGTAGACTGCATAACGAACGGCATACGAGGGTAGCACACACGCTTGAAAGAAATGGCAATTCCAATTATAGTATGGATTCATTGAGAAAGAAAGATTTTGGATTTACTAAACGATCCTGTTTGGTTGCAGCCATGTACTGGAACGGTTATAGCAGCCGAAACCATTCCAAATTCATTAAACTCAAAGTCTCCAAGATACCTTAAGCCTTAACAGTTCAAAGCTGATCCCATAAGGATTTCAAGAAGCAAAACAGCTCCAACCTCAATGAAAACAAAACACTAATCCCACTCTCGTTTTCACATCCATCATGACAGATCCGAGAAAGGTTCTCAGATCCAGAAGGATAACATCGAGAAGTAGTAGAAGTGACGAGATCCGCGTGCTGTTCTGCTCGTAATTACCAAGATTTTTTTTGCAAACAAAAGGGATGGACGAGATTCAATTAAGAAAGTCATGAATTACCGACCTTATGAATATGATGAGAGGAATAGATGGTTGCCGTTAACGGAATTCCTGAGTGAAAAAGACGCCGGCGTGGTCTCCGGGGTGTCGCGGCCGTTGGGAAGCAGTAGGAATGGAAAAAGAAGCTTTTTTTGGAGTCTTGAGTGAAAGCTCGAGTTTTCAGTGATGGCACGAGCTACGCGCAACACAAACAAGTTCGCGTTTTCAGCAGTTTTATTGGTGTTCGCGCAACGCAGCCAAAAAAATAAAAAAATAATTTCAATTGGTTTTGTTATTCATATCTGTATTTATGGAAAATTAAAAATTTGTGGATTTTGACATATTAATTATATTTTAATATAAAAATTAATTAAGTAATTAAGTAGATTAAAAACTAATTATAATAGTTATTTATAAAAATAGATATTGTCTTTCCTAAAATATCCTTGCTAATTAAGTGTATTGATTAGAACTACTATTATTAAACTGTTTTGAAAAAAAAAAAAATATGAGAACAGAATAAATTGAGATTTTATATTTAAGACTAAAATAAAAATCAAACAAATTCTTATATTAAGAATAAAGATAAAATATCTACACAAGTTTTTAATTAGATTATTTAAATTTGTTAAATCACTTGTTATGATTTATATCGTGGAGCAAGTTGCCTTTTATGTGTTTCTGACATTTTCAATCAAGACCGTATAATTGCCAGCTATTTATAACACGCTTTGGTTGGGGCTAATGCGTTATATCAATAGCAAATCAGCCAGTGGTTCCGTACGATTAAAAATAGGATCAATTTTTTTATATTTATCATTTTAATTTTTCTAATTTTGTATAGTCGTGTGTTTTGTTTCTTCATGTGAAATTTATAATTAAATTATAATATTTAAAAATAGGATAATGATCATATATAATAAGTATTTTCTTAAAAGAAAACAAGGCATATGTGGCGGATATGTTAAATAAAAGAAATGGCCATGGTATATTTTTGGGACATGGGGCACATTTATCACAAAAACAAATTATTTAATTTAGAGTAAAATACTTTCATTATCTTTTTATTTGTCTTGATTGTATAGATCTCTCTTATATTTTGTAAATATATTAGTCCCAACCATTAATCCTATTAAAAAATATTCTAAAGAATTTAAACTTGTTCTTATAGGCTCAAGATTTATCCAAATGAAATTGGAGTGTTGCACGCAGCCACACACTATAAAGCAAGACTACAATGGAAAATTAAGGAATGATAATACTTGTCAATGCAAAATAAATGAAGGATCAACCACACCCTTCAATGCGAAATAAAGTTAATGTATTTAATTTCATTCTTACCATTAATATGCCGTTTTAAATTTCATGAAAGATTTATCACTTTGTTTTCTGTAACATTGGATTGAGTGATATAAAAATAATGTCCCCATAAATACATAAACAATTTTAAAAAAATCAATATATCATTATATAAACTACAAATATAAAGCAAACCAGATTTTCATCAAAAATAATCAGCACCATATATACATAATAAATGCCACATTGATTGTTAATATAAAAGCCACTTAATTAATTTGAATGAATTAAAAAAGTTAGTTAAATTATTATTTATAGTAAATATGAACTGATTTTATATCCTTTTAATAATGACTTTCCTTGGATGCAAACCCTATTAATACGTGTAATCAGTAGGAATATTTTAAATAATGCATTATAAATCTACGAGATAAAATATATTATATTTTTATATTTAGAATTAAATCCTCAACTATTTTTTATATGAAGGGTAATGAATAAAAGCGACATTATCTCTGGTCTTAATTATAAAACCTCGTTTATAGATTATAAATGATGTTTTATAATTAGAAAAAAGTAGTATATGCTACATCCGGTCTTTAATATAAGATCTAGTTGATTAATTTAGAAAGATTAAAAAAATTAGTTAAGTTAGTTATTTGTTATAAATAAGTATTATCTTTTTTAAAATATCCTTATTAATTATGTGTTAGTCACAATTGTCATTTGATAAAACTTTTAATATGTGCAAGTACTACAAGAGTTATTTTAAATAAATAAATAAATATTAAAAATAAAGTGAATTAAAATCTTATATTATGATCAAATTAAAAATCAAATAATTCTTTGATAATAAGAAATTTTGGATTGGATTTGGATTGGATTTGGATATACTATAGTTGACCCGGGGCGAGAAAAACTGCTAGTTGCAGCAGGCGAGTTGGGTATTAGATTATCAATCTCAATCATGGTGGAGGCGATTGTCACGTGGCTGGCATGCCCTTGTTACGAACCATGTGTCTCCGTCCCTTCCCGTCTCTGAAACTTTGCTCCGCAAAACAACAAAAGCATCCCCACCCTCTTCTTCCCTTGCCCTTTCCCTTTCTGTCTTCCAACCCACACCCTCTCTTCTTCCATCACTGCGATTCCTATCACCCCCACCGCAGTTTGGGGCCGCGATTCTCCGCCCCTCACCCTCTTCGAGCCTCACCGATAAAAGGTCCTCCTTGATTACATGGCTAAGAAGAGAAAGTCTATAGCTTCGAGCCTCGATGAGGTGGATCGAACCATGTATGCGTCGTTTTGTAGTGCCGCCAATTCCCTCTCTCAGCTCTACACTCAGGCTATGAACCACCAAAAGCTTTCGTTCCAAGCCGGTGAACGCCACGGCCTCGTAAGATTTCTCCTCCGGACTCGATAAAATTTTGCGTTTTTTTTTTTTGTCGATTTCATGTTTTAGGTTTTATGAAACGTGTTTTTGAATTGCGATTTCAATGCATTCACTGATGCTTCCTTTTTACTGGGAAAGATTAGTTTTGTTCCGAGCGGGCTTTTGCTCCAACCCGTCTTTTAACCCCCCCCCCTCCTTTTTCCCGTTTCTCATGGTTAATTATGATAGGGCTTTTTGTTACGATTTTCATTGATAATTCCATCTTCGGTGCGAAGACATTATATCTCTATAAAACTTTGCTTGTCGTGCTATGCCCTTTTTTTTTAAATGAATTTTTGAATCCGTGTAGGTTTCGCTAATGCTTTTCTCTTTAGTTTTACAATCTTTTGAACCCAATAGAGCGTTTTCAATTTTAGTTGTCTATAGGTTTCATCGATTTTCTGACTTCTCCGTTTATTGTTCATTGTTTTATTTTCTAATTGTTCAGTTCATTCTCAGTCCTTACCATTCGCTCTATTTTGTAACTATGGATTGTTATGTCTTGGCATGATTTCGTTAGATTTATACTATGCTGTTTCGTATCAGTCCACCATGCTTCAATCCAGTGCCATTTTGCTCACTGAAGGCATCTGTTGCCGGCTTTTGGAGGCTGATTACAAACCCATATTTCGTAACCTCTTCTGAAATTATGCCTTTTTCCAATTATATACAAAAAGTGCACTCAGTAAGCCGTGCATAGTTTGATTTCTAGTTCTGATAACTTGAAAAATTTTAACAGCTTATGGTATTTCCATGTTCCGTCTGACTTCACATTTATGGAACTCAGTTGTCTATGGCTGCAACTAGCTTGGACAATGAACTTACCCTATATGTCATTTCAGGAGAAACTTTATCAATGGATCTGGAGACAGCAAGAGGGTGGATCAAGAGTTGCAACGGTTGATATACTTAACTACATTCAGGTTGGCCTAATTGTTCTCTCTTTTGCTAATTCAGTGCATAACAATGTTGATATTGGCTCAGTGCATCTATAGAGCAGTAGCATGTGATACTTTGTAACCTTACTAAGTTATTAAGAGAATACTAGATAATTAAGAGTGATAGTGGAACACTGAATAGTAAATAGTTATGCGTCCTTCTACTAATGGGGCACGGGTGCCTCCGAGTGTAGCAGTGTGAAAGCAGGCATGGGAGTTGGACTGTAGTAGTGGGAGCCGTGGAAAGAAATTTTACAAATATGAAAGGGAAGTAGACTAACTAAACCCTGTTTTAGTCCACATTTCTTCTCATTCAAAGCGATAGTGCACTAATGATTTGACCATTGATAGGGTTAGCCATTGAGTTTAATCAAATTTTATAGTGATCTTAACCAAGCCTAATAAAATGCTTTAAAAATTAGGCTTGAGGCCTACCTATGAGTAGTTCTGTAGTGATTTTCTCACTTTAGAAGGATAAAGAGAGAATTGTCTCACTGGCTTAGCATGCTTTATTAGCTTGTTAAATAGTTAGATTCCCTGTGTAGAGAGGTTTACCGTTAGTAGTAACCTTTTGTCAGCTGCTTTGTCTGTGAACTTTTCCTTTATTAGCCGTGTTTTCTCAGTCTTTTTTGGGGTGTTGATGTTAGAGTTATCTTTTTTTTTCTCTTTGGTGATTATAGCGGTTAGTGTTGTGGTTAAACATAAGGTTGACATCAATGAGATTATTTCCTTCAAGTAACAAATATATGTTTGTTAACATCTGACCTCTTCTTTTACCATGTTTGAAGTTTTTTGGATTGACGGTTTCCTAGATCAAAATGGTGAATATGGCTTGTGGCTTCTGTTTTCTTTTGGCAATTTTGATATCTTGAAGTTGTAGTTACATTTGCTGTATTTTGTGAAAAGTGATGACATTGTTGAGAATCTTGGGATGGCTTATTGATTCAAAATTATAGGTTTTATGAAATCTACTCCATTGCTTGCAGAATGAGTTGGATTATTGTGGAGAGGAGCCATCAATGTCTCCAAGGGCACCACTTCAACATCAACAGGCTCAACCATTAATGCAAGTCAATAGTTTAGGCTTCCCAGTCGCTTCAGGTTCTTCCGGCCAAACAGTTATTGCTCAGGGACTTCGGTCTGAGAATAGTGATAATCAACAGAAGAATTCTGTGTTTTCAAATGCTTTGTCTAGCCCTGTTCGCCGAAGTCTTCAGAACTATCATATTGGCGAGGGAGGGTCCTGTCCCGGCAGCCTCTCCTTGGGTAATGGAAACAGGAACACTGAACCTGGCTTTTTTCAGCAGCAAAACAGGGATTCTGCTGCTTTCAATTCCAATGATTCTGCCATGGATATGCATGCTGATTAGTCATGCTTACTAGTTTATCTCCTGAAAATTATTGTCTCACAGGCTTTCTGCAATACCTGCAAAGGAAGTGAGTAACTATGG